GGCTTGCGGAGGCCACAGCATGGTCCACGTAGTCTCACCCTCCACAGACCCTGACACACACGAGCAGGGCCAAACTGAGACGAGCCAGCGGGAGGCGCAACGCACCAGTCCCGAGCGCGACGCAAGCAGTGCGCGCCAAGACAGCCCAGCCAGCGCACCCACGGGACAGACCGTGCTCGCGACGGCTGCCGCTGACGACCGCGCCCTGCACGCGCGGCCCAGAACCGCGGCCTCAGAAGCCGAGCGCGCCGCGCCCGGCCCCCGCCCATCTGTCGAACGCGGGCGCGGGCGAGGCAGACCGTGGGTCTTAACCCCGTGGGAGTCGTACGACAGTGCTGTATATGCGGCGCGAGTCCAGAGAGTCTAGCGATCGAGCCCGTGCCAACGAGAGCGACCGCGACAGGAACCGCGACAGGGACAGGAGCGCAGGGTGGGCCCTCTGGCGCCAGCAGGACAGCGATCGGGACCGAGCCAGAGAGCGCAACCGCGATCACGACCGCGATCGTGACAGGAACATCGGATGGGCCCCTTGGCACCAGCAGAGCGATCGGCGCAACCCTCAAGCACAGGGACGATCGCCGCCATCCTGATCCCATCCGCCCCCGGGAAACCCGCCGTGTCAGCTGGCCACGGCGCGCGCGCGAGACGGCGGCCGACCACCTGGAGAGGCTGAAGGCCGAGGGGGGCTGCCGCTTCACCGCGGCCTGGCACTCGTGGTGCAGGCGTGGGTATCAGGATCAGGGCAAGGGCAAGTCCAAGGACCAGGTCATTTTCGACCCGACCTGCTGGCGGCCCAAGATGATCGACAAGTTTCTTGAGAGCATGGCCAACAGCCACCATCACGTGGAGACCTGGGCCCGGAACACTGGTGTCTATGTGGACTGGGAACGGGGGAACGCCATGTTCCAGGAGTTCCAGAAGAAAAGGGAGGTAACCAAGGGGGAAGTGCGCGGAGACGGCCAGGCGCGCAGTTCAGGGTACACCGACAACTGGACAGGGAAGCGCCCCAGGCGCTGACCAGCTCGGGCACCAGCCACCCCCGTCGGCGCATAGGGCGCCGCTCCCGACATCTCCTGATCCAAGCTAGCCCTTGGCCAGCGCGTGCAGCCAGCACGCCGCTGACCAGACGCCCATCCTGATCCCGCTGTCCCCCCCGCCCTCCCCGAATGTGCTTGGGGCTGTGTGCCCCCCTGACCCCCGCCCTGATCCGCCTAGAGTTGGGGCTGATCGCCCCGTCCGCAGAAGCCCGGTAGCCCACGAGCTCGGCCGTCCAATACTGGTGCAGAGAACGGGCTCTCACGTGCGCGGCTGTGCCGCGCACGCAGCTGCCGTCTCCCGGCCCCCCCCACTTTCCATTTGGAGTTGGGGCCGTTAGTCCCCTTGATCCCCTGGGCCTACTTGATCCGGGCCGCCCGGCTCCCTGCTCGGCAGGGCGGCGCCCGCTTCTTCCTCCCCCCTCCTCTTTCTTTTAAGTGGCATTGGGACCGTTATAGTCCGTCCTGATCCCGCTGGGTGTCCTGATCCACCCGGCCGCGTGCCCCCTCCCAGCGGGGGCTGGCCCGCTGGGCTGGCCTTTCTCCTCCCTGCCCGCTTCTCCCCTCCCCGCTCGCTACCCCCCCTCCCGTGGCGACAGCGCCCGGCGCTGCGCGGCTTCGGCCCGGTGCTGGGCGCCTGCTCCTTGCCGCCATGGCGGCCCCGCTGTTCTTGGCGCTGCGAGGGTCAGGCCCGGCCCTCGACGCTGCAGATCGGCAACGCAACGCGCTTGCCGGCGCAGGGCAGACCTTCTCCCTGCAACGCACCGGCATCCTGTCGGTCATCAACGGCAAGTTCACGGACGGTTCGCCCGGCTGCCGTGCATCAGGCTGCGGTCCCCCATGTCCGTGGAGTGGACTGCCGCGGCTGGTGCTCCTTGCATCACTGGTGGCACTACGTGGCTCTCCTACTTCGTGGTGCTCCTCTTCCTCCCGCGCGTCGACCTGGTCAAGTGGCGCGTCCCTCCCGCAGTGCGTGAGGCTAGTGTTCGCGAAGCGCCGCTGGCGGCTGCACCGCCGCCCACCTTTTCCTCCCGGGACTTCGCCAGCGGGCTCCTGTCCAAGGTGTATTTTTTCCTGCGCGTCCCGTTCGGCACCGCCTGATCCCCGGGCTCCGCCCGCTCCTGGCCGCGTGAGGCCCCGCCTGCCCTCGCCCCCCTCTGTGTCAATCAAAGCCGCGCGTGTCCCGCGGAGCTTTAAGCGGAAGAGGCTCGCTCTCGCCCTGCAAATCAAAGAGTGTGTGTGTGTGTGTGTGTGTGTGTGTGTGTGTGTGTGTTTGTGCCTCTCCTTCTGCGCGTCCCCTGGCGTGTCGCCAGTGGCTTCGCCCTCCCTTCCCCAGTCGTCGGATCGTTGCTGTCGCTCCCTGTTCCTCCCTCCCCCAGCCTCGGGTTCGCCTGGGGTCCCGGGTGTCGTCCCTTCTTCTGCCTCTTTCTGGTTGACCCAAACGTGGGTCCAGCGAGAACGGGGTGCTGCAATAGATTCGGTGCAATCGATTTGCGGGGCTGCAATAGACTTGGGCGCGCAATTCATTCCAGTGCAAATCAAACGCTGGATTTTTGCGTGCAGTGTATTGCTATTTTTTATGTGTAATCGCAGTGTTAATCTGGTTGCTATTGTTGGTATTATTATTTTTGTTTTCATTTTTTTTTTATTTTATTTTTGTTTTTTCCATTATTCGTATCATTCTTCTTTTTCTTCTTCTTATTAATAATATTATTAGTCTTCATGTTCTGTTTATTGTGATATTACTGGTATTGTTAAGATTATTACCAATGTTAATGTTAGTAGTATTGTTGGTTTTATGTTTATTATTATTATTATTTTATTACATTACTGTTTTCCTGATATTTTATTGTTACGTTTCGCAACTCAACGCAATACAGGTCTCCGGCGCGCTACATTCGCAATGCACTTACCCTACGTCTATGGCACCACTTCTTTTCAGATGGATCCTATTTTGGGTCAGCCAGACTCATGCTGTCGCTGCCCTCCAGGGTCGATGAGGGGGAGGGGGAGGCGGAGGAGGACGCGGAGGACGCTTAGGGGGAGGAGGAGGAGGAGGAGGAAGAGGAGGAGGAGGAGGAGGAGGAGGAGGAGGAGGAGGAGGAGGGAACAGGAGGAGGAAGAGGAGGAGGAAGAGGAGGAGGAGGAGGAGGAGAGGAGGAGGCAGAGGAGGAAGAGGAGGAGGAGGAGGAGGAGGAGGAGGAGGAGGAGGCGGAAAAGGAGGAGGACCAGTGTAAAACCAAGAATCGTCAACGATGTTGGAGTTAACCCTACCTCCAAGCTCCCTTTTTCATAGGCCCTTGCAACGGTTCATTTCCATTGAGGGGACTGCCTCGTTGGAGGACATCCGTTTGAAGATCCTGAAGTATGCCAAACATTGTTCTCGGGATTTCAACGCCACGTATCAACCTGACTGCTGCGTCGTGACGATCTGGAATCGTGCCAGAGCGGCATTTTGGGGATCTCAACACCGCGAATCAACATAACTGTTGCGCCCGCCATTTTTGCTACGTTGATCATTGGAATCCGTGAAACTCTTGCTGAATTTGAAACCGAATGTGCGCGGCGCTAAGGCGAGAGTCACATGTCGAAAACCACCCGACCTCAATCCGTGAAACTTTTGCAATGCAAATTTCGAAAGAGAATATGCGCGGCGCTAAGGCGAGAGCCACATGTTGAAAACCACCTGCCCTCAATCCGTGAAGCTCTTGCAATTCTTTAAAACGAATGTGCGCGGCGCTAAGGCGAGAGCCACATATTGAAAACGACCCGCCCTCCATCTGTGAAGCTGTTGTCACATTTTAAGCTCCAGAGTCATACATGGTGAGGAAGTCTCAGGCGAAACGCCCAGCCCGCCCTAAAAACTTGCCTCGGGGTGCGACAGGGAGGAGTTATCTATAAGGAGAAGGAGTGGGGGAGGAGGAGGGGGAGGAGGAGGAGGAGGAGGAGGAGGAGGAGGAGGAAGAGGAGGAGGCGGAGGAGGAGGCGAAGGAGGAGGAGGAGGGGGAGGAGGAGGAGGAGGAGGAGGAGGGGGAGGAGGAGGGGGAGGAGGAGGAGGTGGCGTCTCTGTCTTGCTGGGGAGCGTCCATCGGCCTGCCCTCGCCGGGGGGGCTCTCGGGAGCTGCTCGGCTTGTCTTGGGGGCCACCGGGGGGCGCTCCTTGGTGATCTCGTGGGCCGTCTTGGGAGTCCGCTGGTCCTGCGGGGGGCCCAGCTTCGGCGGCGAGCGAGGGGGGGAATCGAGAGCGGGCGTGCCTTCTCAGAAGGCTCGGAAGCCCCCTGGTCTTCCGAGAAGTTTTCGAAGCCTTCCCCGAAGCGCACAGAACACTTCTCAGAAGGCGCGAGGGGCTCTGAGAAGCCCCGCCGCCGTCTGAGAAGGCCTTCTCCTTCTCACTTCCCCCCCTCGCTCGCCGCCAAGAAATGGGTCCCAGGCGATGTGTTCGGCCTCGGTGTCAGAAGCGAGAGGCTGGCCCTTGAAGCCGCGAGAAACGTCGAGCTTGTGACTTGGAAAACGGACTGGGAGGCTCTGGGAGAGCAGCTTAGTGCATGAACCCTGGACACCAGCCGTCTCAGAGGGCGGGTGGGGCTGCCCAGGCTGGCTGTCCGTCAGGGTTGGCCGCATTCGTGGTCTCTTGGACTTCTCGTAGGTGCCCTTCTCAGGGCAGGGCCCAGTTTGGTCCGATCGACCTGGTTCTACGTCAATTCTGGCCAGCTCGATCCGATCCGATTCGATTTCGACTCCGTGCCGATACAGCCCGATCCGAGGCACATCTCGCTTGGATTCGATCTCCTGATTCGATGCTGACTGGTCCTGCCAGGAAGTGCCACCCGCACTAGCACGAACGCCATGGGGCTCTTCCTGCGCCGACCGAGCGGGGCCGCGGCACGGGTTTCTTTCTCCCCGTTCTGCCGTGCTGCCTTTCCTGTCTGCGCGCCCTTCGCTGATGCAAAAGAGTGCGCTCTGTCAGATAAGCCGCTGGCCATGCTCTCCCTGGATCTCAACTTAGATGCGCAGGGCTCGCGCCAAGTGTCCGCTCCCCTGAGCTGCGCGCGCTGGGCCGCGCGTTGTCTCTGCCTTCGTGACTCCCGCGCCGCACCAAGAAGGCTGGCAGGTGGAGGGCGGCACTGGCGGTGAGGGGTGTGGCGGGTGCACTGGCCGAGGAATGCGCTCAGCAGGGACCACATCCTGGCGCGTGCGTTGGTTTGGGAACCGCCAGTGGACTGGCTCGCAAGTGAGCCAGTGAGCCTCCGCTGC